CCGTGTCCCCGCCCCGCGGAAACTGGGTCACCCGCCCGGGACACAAAAGGCGGGCGCGGCCGTGGTGCGGGAAGGGAAGGCCGCGCTCTCCCCAGACACCGAGCCACCCCCGCAGGGCGGGCGGCGGAGATGGACGCGCGACTCCCCCACACCTCCCCCCCGCGCCACGTCCCCGGCCCTACCCGTCGTCCTGCTGGTTCTTGCTCGCGTTGATCTTGGAGCCCTCGGCGAATTCCTCCTGGCCGCCGCTCATCTCGGTCGAGTCCTCCATGGCGGGGCGAGGGCGGCGGGGGTGCTCGTGCGAGCGGCGGAGAGTGCGGAGACCTGCGCCCGGCAGAAAATGGCGGCGGAAGAGATCCGGGCACCGCCTGCGCCTCCCTTATATACCCGCTCCGGCAGCCAATCAGCGCCGCTTTCCCGCCCGGCGCCGCAGCGCCCCCGGCGGCTCGCGGCGGGGCTGCGGCAGCCGCCCTGCGGCCGCCATCGCGCGGGCCGGGCCGGGCCGGGCCGGTGCCGCTGCTGGGGCGGGCACGGGCACCGCCGCACCGGGCACCGGGACGGGCGGGCGCCGGGGCTGGGCGGGCCGGCCGGCCAGGGGTGGGTTGTAACGCGTAAGCCAGAAACGCCGTTCAGGCGGCGGCGGGGCGGGGCGGGGCGGGCGCTCCGTGGGCGGGCACAGCCGGCGCGGCGCTCCCCGCCGCCGCCGCCGCGCGTCCCCGGTGCGCCCCACGTGCCGCCGCCGCCGCCATGGGCGTGCTGCCGGTGCCGGCGGAGGTGCGCGCTATCCTGCTGGACATCGAGGGCACCACCACCCCCATCGCCTTCGTCCAGGTGAGACCCGGTGGCCGCCGGCACCGCGGGGGGCTCCGGTAGCATCGCCGCTTCTGTCGTGACCGCCCAGCCCTGGCGTCGCGGGGCGCTCCCATAGCATCGCCGTTCGTACCGTGACCTCCCCGGGCCTGGCAGCTCGCCTCAAGATAGGCCGAGGTGCCGCCGGGAGCGAAAGCCGTGACCCATTTTCTGCGTTTTTCCGAATAATGCTCAGGAGAAAATACGCCTTGTCTTGCCGATCGGCCGCCCCTCTGGTGGGCTGGGGAGCAGGTCACTACCGCGGAGATTCGGGCAGGTCAGGGATTTTTTTCATGGATATAGGGCAGTTGGAGTGCTCGCAGCAGCCTCATCCGGGAAAAGCCCTCGAGCATCGCTGTTCCTTTGATGGCTGGAGCTGCGGCACCGCACCCGGGTCTGCAGAGAGCCTCAAGTGCCATCTCTTTGAAGTACGATGCTTCTTGGCCTTAATTTTAGTGATTAGCAATTCGCGGTAATCGGTAGTTCTCGGGGTTATCCGCTGTCTTTTCCCTTGGGGTGCAGCCAAATGCCCCCGGTGTGCCGGAGGAGCGCGTCCGGCACTGCGGGCGGGCAGCGCAGGGGACACGCCACAAACACTGTAGCGACAGCGAATGCACGAGTGGCTTCCCTTGCCTAGGAAAAAGCTTAAGACTGCTGGAAATGCCGGTTTCGGTGCAGAACCGAGGGGACCGAGACGTCTCAGAGTCATAGGCGCTTGGAGAACAGCGAATTGTGATAGCCGCGGGTCCCTCCTCTCCGGGAGGCTTTGGGTTCGCGGGAGGGAGCGGCTTGCTAAAACAGCGAAGGGATGTATCCCTTCTCCTGCCGTTAATTAACCTGGATTTTTCCCTGAGACACTATAGCTTTTGGTAGATCTTTGCAGCCAGTGGCTTACAAAGGTGACCCACATGGCAGGTGAAGGCTCCTGCCAGGACTTCTAGAGGCTTCTGCTAACACAGTTTACCAGATGAACAGCATGACCTATATCTTTCCTATCCACGTTTTTCCAGTGCTCTTAAGGAAACATCAGGCCTAGATGGCATTACAGCTGCCTCCCTCTGCTCAATATCTTTCAATTCAGACAGTTTGGACAGCTCAGGTTTCTTACTAAACATCTAACAGAGCCACTAATTTGTTTCTGTCCACCTTGAAGCTGTTTTGCAGTTGTGCAAACAACATGCCATGCACCTGAGACTTTGGGCTTCCACACAGTCTTTCTGTTGCAGGGAGGCCAAATGAGTTTTGGTTCTCAGTAAAATTCAGTTTGCTGGAAATCCTGTAAATGCTTGGAACAAGGTATTTCATTTGGTCTCTCAGTTGACCTCTGTTTGCCTTTGAAAGGTCCACTGATGGTTCAGCAGACACTTTATTCTTCAATATTAAACAATTTTACTTAATCCTTTCTCTAATGTTGGAATTGCTGAGTCTGCAGAGTAAGGAAATAGAATGAGTCAGTTGATGGGTGGATTAAGGAAAGATACCAGAAAAGAGAGTTATTTGGAGTCTTTCTTCCATACAGACTCCTGGCCTATTAAACTTGGCACATCATTGACTGGGATCACTTTTGACATCCATAAACCATCTGTCCCACTAGCTGTCTGCTACTCCAGCTGTCACGTGGGTGTCCCCTCTTAGTTCACAGACCAATGCATTTGCCAGTGGACCAATACTTTCACCCTTTTAAAATCCCCCAAGTCACAGAATCTACTGGTCTTTCTGTTTGGAAGTTTTTCTTAGCCAGCACAAGAGTATGAAACACTGCTTTTGAAAAACAATTGGGTCCTTTTGACATCTGAGTTGTAAAGGAGGTTAAACCAAGCCAGCAAATCAGCTGCATTTCCCAGGGGATTCTCTTTAATTTCCTCCATGATTTAAAAGATAGTTTGAAATTTAAGGAAATGAGAGAGTATGAGGGGGCATTACAAGGCTTTTGATTTCCCTAGACAAATTTGTTTTAATTCTTTAGGCAATTTGCAATTTTTTTAAAAAAAATACAACATGGAAAACATAATGTTAGAGCAATAGAAAATCCTGCAGTTCTGCCTCCACATCACACTCTCAGGACCACTGCTTTCTTAATTCAGTAACAAGCTAAAGATGACATACAACACAAAACAAGAGACTATGGGCAATTTTTTAGGAGAGGTGAGTTCGGGTTAGATTTTCCCAATTAAGAAAAGCTCAGTTCTCTATCCAAAGGAAGGACTTGCCTGCCCTTCTCCTTGACCTGAGGCTTTTCCCGCACCCGGAGATGCATGGTGGCTGCTTGTGGCTTCTGACTCGTGAAACACCACTAATGAGAGCAATTCGTAATTATTTCTGGTTGCCCTTGGGATCTCCGTGAAGGTTTGTAATTTTCCTGTGGCACTTTTCCCAAACCCCATTTAATTTCATTTGCAAGACTCTCCTGTGGAGTTCGGTGTCACTGGACCTGGCTTTTAATTTTAAAAGGTCCTCTAGCTTTGGTGAGAGATTGAGATGTGTTTTCAGAATGACCTTTGCTAGGACAAGTGCCCCATCAAAAATACAATAGCATAACTTAGCTGTTTAGATTACATTGTCGGCCTTATACTCCTCAGCTGGTGGGAGTATGGGGTCACTTGTGCCATTTGAGACATTTTTTGGCAAGTTCAGGAAAAGTTATCACCCACCTTTCCATCACAGGCTTTAAAACTTTCAGCTATGTAAACGTTTGTGTAAAAAAAATCCACCGGCACTGATCCCGGCCTGAGGCTGGCTCAGTCCTGTGCCCAGGCAGACACCCTTGTCAGGAAGTTTCACCAGCTGCAGCACTGTAGGGGAAGCTTAAGTTCGGAAAATAACTGTACACGGCAGCATGTGCGAACGGTTCCTTTTAAAGCCAGTCAGCCTTACCTCTGCCAGGTTAAAGGAGCAGCCTGTTTTTCTGCCAGGAGACCTTGTTCCCTTACATCAAAGACAACGTGAAGGAGTATCTGCGTGCTCACTGGGAGGAGGAGGAGTGCCAGCGGGATGTCGGACTTCTGAGGAAACAGGTTAAGTAGCAGAGTTATTCCGTTTCTCTGCATTTTCATAGCGTGCCCGAGGCTTCAAGTCACTCGGATTCTCCCAGTCACCCCACATTTGTCCCCGTCTCTGCCCTCATCCATGGAGGCCAGTTGACTCAATGGTTGGATTCTCCCCCATCCAAAGCCTGGGGTTGTGCTTGGCAGGCAGCAGCTTCCCTCAGCACATCTTGCTCTTCAGAGCCCCTGGGCAGCTGTTGAGCCAAGACTTTCCAGCTTTTTGCCTGCACTGTGCCCTTCTCTTGTTGAATCCAAACCTCTTTTGGGAAGCAGCACAGGGGAATGGCAGAGCACTTGTTCCACACAGGGCAGTAGATGCTGCCTCTGTACAGGGACACAGCATCAATTTGAGACTGGTGACTGAAGCCAACAGATGCATTTGCTTCTTTGCCTGAATTACAGTATTTATATACTTAAGCATAGTTCTCATTAGACTATTTACAAATGGTTATAGTAATGCTAATTGTTTGGTTTGGGAAGTACAATCCAAACAAGTATTTCTAAACACAACTGAAGTCTCAATTTTCCATTGAGAAAAGCATTCAAACAACATTGTACCCCATTGTAAAACCCTGTAATTGTGAAGAGTAGTTCAAGCAGTGTCCCGCACAGGGGTGCATGGAGGCAGGTGTCAGACCACTTTCCTACATTAGAGGTGTTGAAATTGCTCCACCTCTTCCCTCCCCTCTATTTATCACAGATGATTGCACAGAATCAGAAAATTCAGAGTTGGAGGGCACCCACAATGATCAGCAAGCCCAACTCTTTAGGGAACAGCCCTTGCAGGGATCAAACCCACAACCTTGGCATTGTTAACACCATGCTGTAACACCACTTTGCAGGCTCAGGAGGACTCCAGCCTGGACGGGGTCGTGCCGATCCCTTTGGAGAGCGGCAGCGGGGAGGAGGAGCTGGAGCGCGTCATCCAGGCGGTTGTAGACAACGTGCACTGGCAGATGTCCCTGGACAGGAAGACCACGGCACTGAAGCAGCTGCAGGGCCACATGTGGAGGGCAGCCTATGCCACCGGGCACGTCAAAGGAGAGTGAGTAATTGTGTGAGTAGTTGTGTGCCCCCTCCTGGGGGGCAGGTATGGGGGGGCATCTTTACTAAAAGTTGCAAAATAGCTGCATAAGCTGTTCCGGAACAGCCCCGCTTACAAATACAAGTGGCATCACTAGCTCAGCAGATAAGCCGGTATTTGAGAGATTTCTTGGTAAACCAAGAGTCTAAGACACAAGTATGAGCTTCTTAGAGTACTCCGTCTTGCATTTTTTATCCCCAGATTACACTCTTATTTTGGAACAAGTATAAACAAACAAGGGTTGTAGGGTCAGACCCTTTCAGTTGTTTCCTCCTGCTTTGTCTTTTACCTGTGTGTTTCCTGCCTTTCCACTTCTTTTTGTCTTCAGTTCCTTTTTATGTTTCAGCCACAACATAGGAATGCATAAATAGGGACAACTGAAATTAAGCTTGATCTTATTTAAGAGATACTTGGTTAAACTATGCATTTCAGGTCTCTTAAGTAAGTAAAACAAGCCCATAAATTCACAAAGTGTTTTGTCAAATGAGGAAGAAGAAAATGAGTTCACAGAAAAATGTAAATATCCGTCAGAGAAAGTAACAAAACCCAAAAACAAGTCAAGAGAGGCAGATATCCTGTTGGTTTTGTTTTTAAAAACAAGGCTAAATTGCTGTACAGTGACCCAAAAACCGTGGAGAAAGCTGCCTGCTTGGCTGCATCCAAGGAGTGAGATCTCTAAAATCTCCTTGCCCAGCTCTGCAGTACCTGCTGCTGAAAGAGACTGCCTGCTTCCAGAAGCCCTGAGCAGATTGAAAATGAAGTCCCCTTGCAAACTAATGGGACTAAACTGTGACAGTGCCTGGCTAATGATGTCCCTCCAGGTGCCTCTGGGTTTGCCCTTACCTGCTGCCCTGTTTTGCTCCAGAATCTTCGAGGACGTTGTTCCAGCCATCCGGAAGTGGCGGGAAGCAGGGATGAAGGTCTATATCTACTCTTCAGGCAGCGTCGAAGCCCAGAAGCTTCTGTTTGGATACTCTACAGAAGGTGATATCCTAGAGGTAGATAACCTTACCACCTTCCTTACAGCTTCTCCCCCTGCAGAGCACTCCCCTCACAACCTCCCTTGCTGTAACACCTTGTGAATGAATTCTGTGACAGGAAGATGGGGCAGTGGGTTTGATCCATGGGAACTCAGCTCAGTTGACTGTGAGAGCATGGCTGCACCAACCCCTCATTACTGTGGCAGAAAGGGAGGGAGGGAGGTTGATCCCCGCTCTTCAGGTGACACTCAGCAATGGCCTGTCCTTCTCTCTTTCAGCTCTTTGATGGCCACTTTGATACCAAAATAGGCCCCAAGGTAGAAAGTGAGAGCTACAGGAGGATTGCTGCCAGTATTGGGTGCGCCACCAACAACATCCTCTTCCTGACAGATGTCCCTCGAGGTACGTGACCTGCCAGTCCTACTGGCTCTCACCTGTGCAGGGGAGGCAGGTGCTCTTCAGAGGTGTGCTGCTGACTTCTCACAAGCACCCCAGAAACACTTCAGCAGCTTCCCTCTAGCTGCTGCCATCCTTTACACACCCGGGCCTGCACGTAGCCATGGGATGTCCGTGTGCAGCACTGCAATGAGGGAAAATAGGTCAAGTAGAAAACCTGCCTTTGCACTAACCAGGAAAGAGAGACTGCCGAAGCAGAGCTGAAGCATGCCCCATTTACAAACAGGGTCAGTGGTTTGGCTGGCGCTCAGGGGAAATGATGGTGTTTGCTGTGTTGCTACGTGGCTGGTTCTTTGTGCCAGTCATGGTTAGGCTGTGTTCAGCAGCAGGAAAACATTGCTTCAGGTTGCCAAGACTTGACCCCTGGAAAGTCAGGCTTGAGAAGCTAATTTAATTTCCTGCTTTTGCTGGAAACGTCTTTCTGGCAGAAATGGCACTGGGTCTCAGTCTAAGCCAGCTCAGTCCCTGGAGTTAGTCCTTACCTCCTCCTCAGCCTTGGCAGCAGAGCTGGTGGGAGCTTGTAGTTACCTCCTTTTCCCTGGATCCAGTGGCCTTCTGTGCTCAGGGAGCTAAAAAGCAGCTTGTGAGAAGAGACTGGGGGAGGGGGGTGTTTGACTCACAAATGCCACAGGCTGACCACAGCCTCATGACAGGAATGGAGCTGATGGAGCAGGAATCAAGCTGATGGTGTGTGCTGCCTGCAAGGTGCCTTGGACAGCCATCAGCTGGCAGAGGCAAGGGGATGGTAAGACAGCCAGCTCCTGTTCATTCCTGCAGCTACAGCCATCCACAGCAGGTCTGCCAGGGGCTGGTTCCTCTCTAGAGCCCTGCCATGTGAAAACACTGCTTTCTCAGTCTCAGCCTTTAAAAGCACCCAAGTGTTTTGGGGCATCCTCAAACCTTAAGGACCCTGATGTGAAGAGGTCAGTAAGCAGCTCTCACCTCCACTCTCCTCGCTCTGTTTGTTTCAGAAGCCAATGCAGCTGAGGAGGCGGACACTCACGTGGCTGTGGTGATCAGACCAGGCAACGCAGGACTGACAGACGATGAGAAATCCTATTACAGCCTCATCTCATCTTTCACTGAACTTTTCTTGCCTTCCTCCACTTAGGGAAAGCAGTGCACGCACAAAAGACTGTGCTTCACCTAATTGTCCTTGTGAAATGTTAGGTAATTTTGTCCATAATCAGAATTTCAAACCAAATCCACATTATGTCTTGGGCCTCATGCAGGCAGGTATGGATGGAGAGTGTGGTGTGGGGTCCCTTGTGCAGTAGGACAGAGGCCTGCTGCCAGCTGGAGCTGGGAACAGGGCAGGGAGCAGCATCCATGAGCCCTGCTGTTCCTTCCCTTTCCTGGCTAGCAGTTAGCTAAGGGAATGCTTCCTTCAGACTCATCCTCTGAAATCTGATGCCAAGAGGCCCAACTGTGAGCTCTGTCATTTTTAGAAGCAGTCTACAAACAAGGTTTATGTCCCCTTGTCCCAGAGGGAGTGCTGGGGGACCAAGGAGGGATATGTGAGCTTCTACCTGCAGATAGGATTTCTGGCTAAGTCAAAAATATTCACAGTTAGGATTCTCAAAGGAAAATGCCAGTTGTGGGCTATAATGCAGTAGGTTTGGGCTGCCACAGAAAGAGCCAAGCACTTTAGACAAGGACCAATGTGTATCTTGGCTGTGTCTGCAGCAGCTCTAGGTACCAAACAGTACAACTTGCATATGGAAGCTGCTTAGAGCTCCACAGCCAGCCTAACACAGAATGGAGTATATATAAATACAGCTTTAAAAATTAAAATGTGGACACACTTCACTGCTGCATCACGGTGCTGGGCTGTGGGATACAACTTGACAGCATTTCTGAAGTATCTCAGCACTGACCCATGGAGCTCCTCCTCCAGCCAACATCACCCAGTCACATGTTCATAGCACTGGTCAGCTGTGAGCAAACCTTGACAAACTGCTCCCGAGGGCAGACATCCTGCTGCATCTGATGAGAATTAACCCCCTGACCTTTCCACCTTACCTAAATTATGCTAATGTAGTAAATAAAACCACAACTTTGCTTTCATTGTGTTCACTCCATCACAACATTTAGTCTTCCTGTCTTAACACTTGTGATCCCAGCACCTAAAAGGCAAATTTTATTATTTCTAAACCTGTGAACACTGTGTTCCTGCTTTCACCTTCCCCAGTCCTTTAAAACAGCAGCCTTGTCCTGCCAAGGAAGCTGTACTACCTCCCTGACTATTTTAGGATTTCATTTCTGGCTCAGGGCAGGAGTGAGAGCCACAGGTAGGTTATACCTGGTAGTAGTGGAGTCAGAGGCAGTCTGAAACTCCTCTCTGAAATCCCCATGTCCCCTTTCCCTGCTGCTGGCACTTCATGCACACGTGTCTTGTCCTGACAGCCAGACAGAATATTAATATGTGCATGCTGCCTTCTTGAGCTCTGATCTACACCTACAGCTGTCCCTGTTGAGGGAGGCTGATGGGTAAAGAACAGGAGACAGGCACTTGGAGAGGAAACCACACTGTGCCAGCATGGCCTTTCTAAAAATTTAATAGTAGCAGGTCAGGCTGTGGGGCAACTAGTCCAGATGCCTTTCTGGGCTGGGCAATGGCTGTGATCCTGCTCCTAGAAAGAGCCTGCTAATTAGTGCTGTTACAATAAGTGTATCTGCATGGCTGAATGGTCCCTGGCTTAAGTGATAATGTTAATCATTACACTGTAAATAAATACTCATCTTTTGTTTCGCCTTTGCCATCAGAAAGCTATGCTTGGGGTAGGGACAAAAATAAAGCTCACATTCTCCATAAAAGCACTTTATTTAGTGGTCATGTTTTAGTGTATATTAGTTGTCATTTAGTTGTACTGAAATGTGCTGTTAGAAATACTCTACGAAATGTACAGAATTATCACTAAAAACCTGAAGTTCAGTTTGGATTGCATATAGGAAAAGGAGAAAAAGGAAAAAAAATAACCACATCATCTATTTTTTTTTTCATTTGATAAAATTACAAAAGCTAAAATAATAAACTCAAAATACTAATTAATTAGGGAAAAAAGTCACAGTGGACTATTTACAGTAAAACACTCTTACAACAACTTGCTATTTTGTGCTCCATATGAATTGAGTGTGTGCCAGTGCAAGCGGATGCCCACCTGCCCGTTCTCCAGACTGTCCCCTCCTGTCCTTGCCCAGGAGGAGCTCCCAGGATGTGCCTCAAGGGAGCTGGCACCTCACACTTCTGTGTCCTTGGCCACTCTCAGCACATCCTTCCAGGAAAGCTTTCCATTAATGACACTGCTACAAGGAGGAAGCCTTCAGCAATCCATAACAACCCTCTGTTGGCCAAAAATGCTCTGGATTTGTAACAGCTGCCTGAGAACATTTGGTGCACAGAATATAATAAAGGGCTGGCTGGAAGCTTTCTACTTAACACACAGTTTATCTTAACTGTTTCTCCTCAGGAGAGGCCTGTGACCTTTTGCAGAAGACAATGCCCTTTTGCCTTTTCCCTCTCTGTCAGAAATGCCACAGAGCAGTACGAGTTCCCCTTCAAGTGCCTTTTCCTACCATTTTAATTTCTGCTTGCTTTCCTGCAGCTCAGACAAGATGTAGACCTTAGCTGAGCCTGATTTGTGGAGGAAAATAGGAGCCATGTTCATGAGTAGCAACTCCCATCACTCCCCTGCCCAGCCAATACAGCAGCCTTCCCAAAATTAGGTTTTCAAATGGGCTTTGAGCTCCTTCTCTGAAAACAGACCTTCTGTTTGAAAATCTCCCTTTAGGGAGGAAGAAGCCCTTCTGGTTTTGCTGTTCCCTTCCTGCACCTCCAGCCCTCAGGCAGACCACCCAGACCACCTGAACCACTGGTACTGTTCTCCAGGCAGACAAGCCTGGTGACTCTTAACACAATGTTTTTCCCCTCAGTGAACATTAAAAAAAAAGTTTAAAAAGCTTTTGAAATACTGTACACAATTTGTGGTGGAAGCACTATGCATGGAAAAAGCAGCCTTTTCTGGGTCGTCTTCAGAGCACACAGACATTCTCATCTTAATTCAGCACCTCACTCCTACCACTCCCCAGCAGGAAGCCAAGCACAGCATCCCACTGTGTCACCCCCTCTGGCCTGGGAATGATCTGCCCAGCAACAAGGCAGCATCAGCTAAGTCTCACTTCCTGATCACAGTTCCTTCCAAACCCAGATTTACTGCTGGCTGCTTTCCAGTCTGGAAGAAATGCCTGCCTGCTTGCCATAAAAGCCAGTCCATTGGGGTCTTCCGTGTCTGATTCCAGGTTCTGAAGAAACAGCTGCTCTTGCTCACCCTACCAAGTTCCTCCAGTTGTCAGCAAAGAAAACAACCCGAGAAACACATGAAAAACACATCTGGTGACTCGGGAATTGGAGACTCCTGAAGACTCCTGCTGTTTGAAGAAGTCTGCTTCCTTCACCTCCTTCTCTGCAGGGTGGGCTGAGCAGGACTGGTCTCGGAGGGGCATCACAAGGACAGGCTGCTGAATGTTTTGAACCACAGGAGTGTGACAGAGCCGCTCAGAGTCACTGGTGGCGCAAACTAAGCAGCTTGTGCTCTCTCACGCTGCCGCTGAGATGGATCCACTCCTCTTCCATCAGACAACAGACTCTATCTTCCATCAGACACCTCTGTTTGTTTGGCTCTTAGTGAGATAGCCACCCTCAGAGCCCTTTGGCAATACCATCATGATTGCACATGAAAACAAGCTCATAAAAAAAGTGTAAATGAGGTCATGTTTCACCCATGAGACCACACCTGCCCCCCTCCCCCCCCCGCCAGAAGACAGGCTACACCTGATCTGTCTGGTACTCGGAGGCTTCTGATAAGCTTTCGGAAAAGCTCAGAAAGTTTTCCTGGTACTCAGAACAAATTATCTCAAATCTGTAATGCCTGAACTCCACTGCAAAGGTGCCAAAGTAGCACAGGAAGCACATCACTAGGCCCCACTGGATCCTGGAAGCATGCATGTGAATGCCCTGGGCCATAAGGATGAAATCTGGAAGAGGAAAGTCAAGGAGAACAACTGGGAACAGAGACACCAAGCAGTTTGAAAGCCAAAAGGGAAAAAAATCTGAACAAAGTCACCTGGATAAGTCAACCCATCCAGCCATCATGAGGAGAGTGTGAATGTGATGCTAGAGATGAAAGGGATGTCAGGTGTCCAGTGATGCCCATGGAGCACAGCAGCTCTCCTGGACCAGGGCTTCCTAATCCCAGATCAGGGTGATAAACATTTACAGAGGGGAAGACTTGGGTGCAGAGAAATCAGTGATCTGCTTGAGCATCCGGCTAGCCAGGGGCAGAGCCAGCAAGTGGGGACTTGTCTGTGGGCCCCTACCTGCCAGGAGCTTCCCAGTGGGAAGTGGATCAGATCAGTGCACCCACCAGAGGCAATGGGAACACCTTTCAACACACACTGTGAAATATTTCCTTCTCTTTAGATCACCTGCAAAATTGTCCCTTTCTGTGAAATCTGGAAGCATCACTCTACACAGTATGGCACTGAAATAGGATTGTGCCATGAAGACAGGCTGAGCAGCATTCCAAAATGCTTTGGGATCCTAGGACAGGTGGGAGAAGAGCGAGCTGCTGCAGAACATACACAGTACCTGGCTTCCTGGGGATGAAGACCAAAGGATACAGAGCACCACACAGAGGGTGATGCTGGCTGAGAGAGCCACTCGTGGAATTCCAGCTTTCCGCCCCTCATTCTTCAGGTTGATCTTGAGGGTAAGGGCAGACTGGATCCAGCACGCCAATGTCCCGAAGCCAAAGGTCAGCGACGTGCCCACATTGTGGATCTCCTCATCATTGGAAAGCTAGGAACAAAAAACAGTGATGGCCTGGACACAGCAGGAATTGTGATAGCTAGCTGGATTGCTGCTGAGGTGGGGTAGGGGAGAGTGGAGATCACTGAGGTGTGAGACAAAGATGCCATATCATTTCTTCTGGCAGAGGCATAAGGTATAACAGAGCCAAGGTGAGTTGACAGCTGTCATAGTCAAACAGATATTCTACCCAAAGCCCAAGAGCACAGTGGAAAATGCAGTTGCTTGGGGACTGTCTCCACAGCTCCCTGACAAGACTCACAAATGCAGAGCTCAGAAATAAATTCTTCCTTGGCTCAAAATGATGGCCAGGGGAGGCAAGGACAACCCACTGTGGGTCTTGTACAGCTCCCTGCAATGGATGCAAATTGTGCACCTTCAGTGCCAGCTGCAGGGAGCAGAGCCCTGACACTCCCTTGAGCTAGCACAAGCCAAAACACAAATACATGCTCCTGGTTTGGCAAGTTTCTCCCATCAAATTTCCTCTTCTGCCAATTCTCAACCCCTAGTGTTTGAGGCAACATGAACCCAACCTCTCTGGAGTGCCAGTGCTTCCCTGCTCCTTGGGCTGCCCTGTCTCACAGGGCTCAGGCAAGGCAAAATGACAGCCAGGTTCAACTAGCAAGAATCTGCAAAAAAATCCATTGAGGCTGTAAATCCATTCAAAAAGTCCAGCATGGGCTTAAGCCAAACAATTTCCATTTTCCCTCTGCCTCTGAGGCTTTTCTAGAAAAGAAACCACCAGTCTGTAACTTCTCCCTGCAGCCTTAATTCCTGTTTGATGATTTAACAAATACCCATCAAATAAGACAATCTACACGACAACAATCTGGTTGCTGTGCCTCCACTGATATCTCCCCTTCTCTCTCTACCCTGAATTTCTTTCAAGAGTAGGTCCAAATAATCATTCTGGTAAAAATAGGATTGAGCTGCCTTTCCCAAGATAGTCAGCACCGCAAGGGACTAGGCTATAATGTCCCTCTAAAACACCCAAGGTATAATTTTCCAGAAATATGATTTAATGCTACATTCAGCTCAGCAGTCAGGCAAGGAGGAGCACAGACTAAGCTCTCATTACCACATGTTTTCATGTTTGACAAAAGATCTAAGAAAGGATACAGGTAACTAACAAAGAACAGATAGTTAGAATCAGATATCAGAGAATAATCAGAATTTATAGCCAGGCACGATTCAAAGCATCTACTGTTAATTTACAATCATTTGCTCTGAAGAGTGAAAAAAGGAAGAAGAGGTCGAAACTGTTTCTTAGTGCCTGTCCTGTACTAGAAATACACTTCTCAGAGGTAGACAAAGCTGTTACAAAGGCTTCATAACCCCTAGCTGGGAAGCTCTTGTGATAAAAACAAGACCCTGGGTTTTGGGCTTGTACTGGGGAGTTAGGAAGACCAAGTCCATAAAAGTCAAATTATCTCACACCTCATTCAAAAAGAAAAAAAAGTAAACTGTAAAGGACACCAAGTTCCTTCAATAACTGCACAATCCAAAGAGATCCTCCTCACCCCTCATAAAACAAGTACCATTTCTGTGTTGGGTCCCTGTCATGCAAAGCCAGGGAAGCAGCCAGCCTGCACTGACCTTTCTCAGTTCCCACCATTATTGGGGGTCATTACTCGCAGCCCAGTGAGAGGCAGAGCCTGAGAGTCAAACCCAAGCCCCACGGACTCTAACACCTTGATTTTCACTGCAGCCCTGACAGACACAATCGTGATCACAGGGGACATCCATCCCTACAGATGTGGCAGATGTTTGCTCCTATAACGCTGCAGAACAGAGGGAGATGGGAGGGCCCTCACCCACACACCCATCAGAAGACCTGGCACTCCTTTGCTATGTCTCTCTCCTGGCAGGCCTGAGGATCAGCAGGAGGTGGATTTAAAGCAACATATGTTTTAAAAGAAGGACACTGAGCTTCCTGATAAATTTGTACGGGCATTTGTGCATCTGTTTGCACAGATGTGTCCGCAAACTTCCTGCTCAACTCCCCTTTTACCCAGGGCCATCTGTGCCAACTCCCAGGGCCCAAGAGATTCAGGAGGCTCCTGCTGTGGCTCCCAGCAGGTCAGGTCTAAGCATGCAAGTGCAAATCCTGCTGGAGACATGTGAAAAGTGATTGTGGCCCTTCACCTCGGCACACAAGTGGCAGACAGGGCGGCAGAGCAGGTAAAGGGAGGGCTGGGGCACATGATTTTCCCAGGCTCACATCACAGGTCGTTCAGAGATCCAAGCAAATCTGCTAGAAAAGCAGGGAAGTCACATCAGAGGCAGAGCAGTCCAAGCCTGCAGAGCAGTACCTGAAAGTTGCCGAGTAGGGTCATCCCAAAAGAGGCCAGACACAGTGCCACCAAGCCGCTGATGTTCAGCCAAGGGGTGAGCACCTTTGGCTTCAGCTGAATGAAGCGCAGGACAGCCACAACGAGAGCTGGGAAGGAAACACAAGGCAAGGGGCGTCAGTAGGTAGAACCTGCTGCAGCAAACATCTGCCTGGGGGCTCACAGCCGCCTCCTCCACTTTCTACCTGCAGGCCAGCAAGCTTTGTGCTACTGCACGGCCCCCTCACACTTAATCAGGGACAAGACTAAGCACAGGAAGCATTTCTCTTTCCCTTTCTCATTATGCTTTGTCTGAAAATTTTCAGGGGGAAAGAACACCTTCCTGCCTGCCTGTGAAGCTCCCAGCATGCAGTCTACGCACACCATGCATTCACTTAGTGGCACCTGGACTTGTATTGCTTCACTCCACTCATGAGTCCTGAGCTCTCCTGGAGGAGTTTATGTCAAACCCCACTTGTATGAAAAAGCATATGAATGGCACATACATATTTCTGCAGGGGTTGCCGTAACGCCCACTGCCTCTTCTCCTTCTCTGGAGCAAGTTCTGTTGCCACAAACATGAGCCAAAATGCTGCACTAATTTTCCATGAAGAATGGAATAACCTTCCTTCCAAGCTAACAATTCCCCAAGCACTATGGTATATGATACATGATATATATGATACATCATATGATATGGCATATCCCCAGAAGATACTCAAATTGTGTATTCTTGCCCTCCCTAGTGAATGGTGCATGGAACAACACAGAAAGCCAGGCAATCAAGTTGGCCTTCAGATGTGATTCAAAGCCAGACCACTAAAAATCAATTTAGTTCAACAGGGCAATTTGCTTGCCGTCAAACACCTTCTTATGCTCATGCTCAAATTGATAGCATGCAGCTCATATTGTTGTAAATAGTTTGCCTTAGCAAATTAGATCTGCATTTTCCACAAAACCCCTGGTATAATATCAAAGACATGGTTTAGGAAAATAAGGGCACTATAAGTGAAAAATACACACTTTTACCCAAACTGCAAAAGATATTTGAATTTACTCTCTCACAACTGCTCTAGTGAGTCAATCCACTCCAAATCCTTAAAAATGAGAATTTTGTTCCCACACAAAAAGAGGATTTCTATTTTTCAACCCCAGGCAATTGTCTGGGACAGCCACCTGTGACTACTCAAGCTCATGTACAGGAGAATTTCTATTTCTACAATACAGACTCCTGAAATTATGTTATCTTTTTCTAAAACCTGATGGGAATGACAAAAGGGGATTAAAAACATTCCATGCAAAACAATGGTATTTTCAATTTCAGTATTCCACACTTCTATCATGTTTCTGTAGCTTTCCTCTCCTTTAGCTTTGACATAACTAAGGTGGTCAGAGATACAAGCTAGAAGCAGCTCTCAGAAGCACACAAATACAGCAGAGGAAAGAATGACTTAATCCACAAAGCAGAGATTAAAACATAACAGACTACTTCTGTTGGAAGAGGCCTACAACAATCATCAAATTCAGTTGCCTGACCAATTCAGAGCTGACCAAAAGTTAAAGCATGTTATTAGGGGCATTGTCCAGATGCTTCCTAAACAGTGACAGGCTTGGGGCATCAACCATCTCACTGGGAATCCTACTGCAGTGTTTGACCACTCTCTCGGTAAAGAAATGCTTCCTAATGTTCAGTCTGGAGCAGCTTTGAACCATTCCCACATGTTCTGTCACTGGATCTGGGAGGAAGAGAACCCTCCCTTTCCACATCCTCTTCCCATTTTTACCCTACTCCAGTGTTACTCTGTCCCTGGTGCAGGATACAGCATTTAGACTTGTTTCATTTCATCCCATTAATCACTGCCCAATGTTCCAAATATCTAGATCCCTCTGGAAGGCAGCTGGTTTCTCACGAGAGTCAGCAGCACATCTCAGTTTGGGATCAGCAGCAAACTTGCTAATGGTGCCTTCACATCATTCATTCAGATTGCTGGTAAAAATATTGAACAGAACTGGCGCTAGAACGGAGCCCTGAGGGACACCACTGGTGGCTGGATGGCAGCCAGATGCAGCTTCTCTACAGCCCTGTGAGTCCTCCCTTCAGCCAGTTCCTCACCCAGTGCACTGTGAACCTGCTGATCTCACAGGCGGACAACTTCTCCAGAAGGGTGTTACAAGGGACAGTATCAAAAGTCTTGTTAAAATCCAGGAAATCATCCAACACCTTCCCTTCATCCACCAGGTGTGTGGCCTTATCATGGAAGGTTATTGAATAAAGTCCTGTTAAACAGGACTTTCCCTTTGTGAGGCCATGCTGACTGTGTCTGGTGTGCCTTTAAATGTGTCCCTATCATCTTGTCCATCATTATTCCAGGAACTGAGGTCTGTAGGTCTCTGGGTGTTTCTTCATGCCCATCTTGTAGATTAGAATAACACTGGCTGGCTTCCAGTCAACAGGGCCCTCCCCAGAATCCCAAGAGATTTGGTAGATCATAGGAGTCCTCCCCTAACATCCACTACCTCCTTCAGTGTTCTGGGATGAACTCCATCCAGGACCAAGGGACTTGTGAGCATTCAGCTGACACATCTGGTCCCTGACAATTCCAGTGCTCACAAATGAACAGTCACTGCTCCCACACTTGTAGTACTTCAACTCACAGGACTGGACAGCCCAAGGTCTATCAGCATTTTATTAAAGGCTGAGGCAGAAAAAGCATTGGATGCCTCCACTTCTTCTTCACCCTTATTAGTCAGGTTACAGCCTCTAACAAATATCTGTCCAACATTTCCTTTAGGCCTCCTTTTGCCAGTGACATACTTAAAAACACTCTTCTTATTGTCTGAAACAACTCTGGACAGTTTTAAATAAAATTGAGCTTTGGCATTTCCTGTCTTCTCCCTGTATATACAAACCACAGCTCTGCAATCTTCCTGCAAAGCCTAACCTCTCTTCCAGAAACCATATAATGGCATTTTCCTCTTAAGCCAAGCTGGTCTTCTGCCCCACTCTTTAAGCACAATCCCACACAGCTGGATTGCCTGCTCTTGTGCTTCTAAAAGGTGGTTCTTAAAGATTGACCAGCACTCATGGACACCTAAGGCCTCAAAAGCAGATTCCTGAGGTATTCTGCTAAGCACCTCCCTGAAGAGCCTAAAGTTTGCTTTCTTGAAATTTAGGGAATCAATTCTGCTTTGATCCCCTAAATTAATTTTTTCTCTTTACAGCAAAGGTTCTAAACTCAACCATTTCATGATCACCAAGGCCGAGACAGTCACCTACCATCACACCTCCCACAACTCATTTTGCAGTCTGGAGGTTGTATTTCCCCTGTTACATTTCTTTCTTTGTAGTGGGAAGAAGCAGCAATGCAATGTACAGTTCAAATGGTTTCACATCATCACATTCAAGAAGAATATGTACAGGATTTTACTTATGTTTCAGTGACTCTTAAAACACAAAGAAAGAAAAACTCCAGTTGTGGTTCCTACCTAGAAATGCTGCCATGTTCATGACTTGACTAAACACACAGCTTGCAGGAGGTGCATCACCTGCAATACTTGAAAATAGAAAGCGTATCATTGTAACTCTAGGATGACAAAGACACATAAATAGCAACCATAACCAGAGCAGTACTTGGAAGAAAATAATTCATTTACCTTATGTAAGGCGGTCTTTTGGGACCAGGTTTCCTAAGGGACACAGGCACAGGAATAAAGGTTCAAGGTTTTTCTTTCCCATTTTTCTGTAATTGTTTCATTATTTCAAAGAAACAAGTGATTGAAGATAAAGCCCACAAACAGCTCTTACCTATCTGGCACACTTAGTGGGAGAATTTTGTTATCTTCCACTGCTATAAAGTACCTGTCAAGAAAAAGGAAAAAAAAAAAAAGAAAAAAAAAAGAAGGGAATAGTGTAAAACCTCATCCTAGCTTCCATTCTAAATATCACTCAAACAACACCTTAAGTGTTTCAAAGCCCAGTGGCAGGATCTGATGCAGGAGCCTGTGTTTCTCTCTGCTCAAGCAGGCAGTTTTGCTTATTTCTCAGTCCATGTGCCCTCCTTTGTGTTACAGTTGGTTTGCACGATCAAGTAGACAAACAGGGTCACTGAAAGCTTAAGCTGCCTTAAAAATAACCAGCCAGGGGGATATTCTCATTTTTAGTTTGAGTCATTTTGATTCATCAGGTTTACTATGGAACTCCATCCACAAAAGCTGTTTTAATAGAGAGGGGATGGAACAAGAACAACAACAAGCAATAGAGGTCAGACAAAAGGCTTAAGCTGCCCCTGCTGCTGAAAAACAGCATCCATAGACCATGGCCAAAGCCACATCCTATGACATAACTGCTTCTCAGCCTGAGCATAGCTGCTGATCACACATTTATCACTCCCAAATTCATGCTGCAGTCATCTGCCTGCATGCTTGAAGAGAACCCAGCTCAGGGAAGTGCATGTCTTGTGTGTATTTTGGTAAGAAGCATAAGGAGAAAGTGAGGTGTCAGCATTAAGCTGCTGGCAGGTTTTCAGTGTGGTGCTGGATGCTGCAGATTTTGAATTTCTACCCCAAAGCAGGGCCTAAGTGTTCCTCCAAGAGCTCTGCTGAGTCACTCGAAGGAAATGGGATTAAAAGAAATTTTTACATTTTTGGCTGTTTCTTTTCAGGCAGCTCCCAGGAACACATACCAGGAAGAAAGCAAGGTCGGCAACTTGGCCTGAGGAGGACATAAACTCAGGGATAAAAATGTGATACTTCAAGCCATGAACTGGCACAGCCTGGCCCCTGCCCCTGTCATGTGCCTTCCCAACCCCACAGTAGCTGAAGGGCAGAGCACCCCCAAAAGAATCTCATTAATGAGTTGCAGCCTCCCAAGTAACCAGCAGGGGATAACTTACACTATCCATAATCCAGCTGATGTAAACAGGGTAAAGACAAGAGGTAAAAACATCCACACGCTGCATTTCTTCCCATCCATACCTGCTGGAAACAAAGAACAAAGTGAAAACAGAGGGCTGAGGGACCCACCCTCCTTAGCCCCCCTCTTCTGAGAGCAAGAAGGGCATCCCCACAGCAGGTGCCAAGGTACCAAGCTCCTCACAGCTGCTGCAAACCTTTCTGCTGTCCCTGCTGGCACAAGGGGTTAAGCTGCTGCACACAGGCAGCATCCTCCACACGGTTTGTAACAACCAAGGCACCGGAGCCCTGGAGCGGCAGACCTTTCAACCACACCTACAGAATCTGAGTGGTTTTCAAAGTACTTCTCATCAGGATTTTGCGCAAGGTGACCACAAGACCTGCAGCTCTGACTCCCTACTCCTTCCCACACGCACCATGCAAGGCAGCCTCCCACCCAGGATCATTACCAATTCCACACACGCTGCCTCAGCAAAGCCTGCAGCATGGAGAGAGAGGGATGCCCGCACTGTCATCATCTCCACAAAGCACACCACCGGCTCCCATCCTGGCCACAGAAAGCAGCTAAAAATAGTGTGTGGCCACAGCTAGAGCAGAGCCCCAGTGCCGGCTCCTAGCACGCTGTCAGGAGTTGGGATGAGGCGCTGCAAACAGGATCAGCTCTCCAATGCAGGCACTGTGAAATCCTGCATGTGGCGTAAGGATGCTGCGACACCGCCTCCCGAGGAAGCATTTGTCCTCCAGGAAGATCATGCTGGATGAGCATCTGGAATGCCGGGGCTGCTCCTGTAATATGTGCAATTCAGACACGCTGCTGTGCTGCAGACACAGAGTCCTACATCTCCATGTGAGTCCTTTCATAATGGATCAAGTATTCTCTCATGCTCTGTCCTATTCCATATATGTTCCTCCAGGCACCAGCATGGCCAAGAGACACAAAGAGAAGGGAACAGCACCAGGCTCACAGCTCCAGCACCTGCTTTACTTTCACTAGGGCAGAAGCACTTGTGTCCTTGTGCTTTGTCCCCCTCCCTGCTGCAGGGCAGGCATTCCCTGGGGCCACCAGCACCCACATGGCACAGAGAGGCACCCTGGGGTGCCAGGACAGCTTAGAGATGACAGCCTCTCATTCTAGCCTGCTTGCATTTGCAGCTCAATTACCTCATCCAGGTCCTTAAAGCCATGACCCTTCCCTTTGCCCCAAGAAGAAAGTACCTGCTTTGTCATCCTCCTCCTCTCAACTCACTCCCCTAGCCTTCCTACATCTGCAGCCATGGTCTGCTCCCTGCTGTGGAGACCCGGAAGAGAGCCAGCACCCCCCCCATGTCACAGCAGCCCCCAGCTCGCTGCTCCCCTAAGGCACTGCAGGCTGCAAAGGACATGCTGGCTGGACTGCTCAGGGCCCCAGACACCAGCTCCTGCCCTGCCTCACTGGGACAGAGGCTGAAGAGCTTGAGTGAGGTTCCCCACACCCTGCAGGTCGAATGGCACTCTCACCTCTACAGGTCAGCTATCTTGTTTTCCCTGCAAATGGCCTAGCAGGGGTACAAAACAACAACCTGGCAGTGCCCAGAGTCACACCACACTTGCACAAAGCCATGGGGCCACAGTTTGGTGCTGTTTGCACAGATAGCCTGGAGTAAGGCTACATTCCAAACCTTAAAAGACAGAAAAGCAGTCAGACAAGCTCTCTTCTCTGATCTGGGAGCAGAGAGAACTGCAGACAAGGAGCATGAAATGATGTGAGTATTAAGTATGCTAATTTAAAAGGCAGGCAGCTCCAGTGTGCAGACAGATCTTTAGCACAGTGAACAGATCAGAAGACATTATCAATGAGGGGGACTAGATTTCCCATCTCACTTCTGTTCCTCTCCTCCGGCACAGGAGACACAGCGTGTCACATCTCTGTAACCCGCAAAGCTCCCGCTGTCGTGCCGGCAGCTATTCCATGAAGTGCTGCCCTTGCCTTTTCTTCCTGCTGCTCAGCAGCACTGCAGCAGCATCCCTTAGCTGGTGTTGGACGGTGCTGTAGTACTGGGAGACCCATGACAGCAATCTCAAGGACCACTTCCAGGTGGCAGGTGCCCCACCTGCCACAGGACCGTGTCCCTGACAGCCTCTGGCAGCACAGTGTCCAAATGCCAGAGCCCCATGCAAGGGAGACATAACTGTGGCCAAATTCCCCCTCCTGCCTTGGCTGAAGGGAGCAGGCAGGTAACATCACCTCCTGTTCCAGCCCTTGTCTGCTCTGCAAGGTAATTACTGCTGTGCTCGACTCTCCTCTTGTCTCTGGTGGTGGCTGGACTGGGCCAAGGTAACGTGATTCTTCTGTGTAAGAGGACGGCACATCTTATTATTTACCCTTCACCTTTGGAAAGGTACAGAAGTTTCACTTACACACTAAAAGCAAACAGTAGCCATAACACCTGTCCTCATTAATGATTTGCTGCAGCTCCTCCCCCTCCCAGCATGAAAACAGCAGCCTTCACAAGCTATTTCAGCACTGCCTGTCGTGCAGAGAGGGAGGTGGCAAGGGCTTTTCCCCCAGGCAGAGCAGCAAGGCAGCACACATGGACATGAACTCCACACCAGAATGAAATGGGGAAATGTGAAAATACTGTCTAGATACCCACTGTTGTGTGCTGAGCTCTAAAATGGAGCAAGGCCAAAACTAGTGCCCAACCTTCCCAGAGTCAGAGCAACATGGCTAGACTCACCTCTTTGGAAAACACCCATCTGGTTAATATTCACTGTGGCACATTGAGTCCCCTTCCATCAGCCACTAACAGAAAATGACATCTGCAATCATTGCATATCAAATGAATGATCAGGGCAGAGCACAGTGTCCTGATGGGAAGCCAGCTCCATAGATCAGAGATCCTAATTTCAGCCAGTTAAAAAGAAGGATGCCACCTGTGTCTGACAGATGAAATACCAAAAGCAGGAAAGAAGGATCCCTTTCCCCCATGTTCCCAAACAGCAACACCTTTTAATGCAGGCCACTGGCACAGCCCACACAAGCTTGGATATGTTTCAGCATCCCCACGTGGGCAGAGGATGGTTTAAAAACAGGGCTCAGCTCCCGCACATTTTTCATTTATTCCCTGTTGTGTTATTCAGGTGCCAAGAACAAAATTACATGTAGTCGCAACTTCTTCCAAAGGAGAAACCCCTAACATGTGCCAAACCTGCCTAGCTTTGCACTAGTGCTCAGCATACATCATTCTCAGCAGCTGCCTTTGGGTTAGCCTCCTCCTCATGGATGTCCCCAGTGTTTGTATCTTCAAGCAGGGAGACCTCCATGTACACTAAGACTAGCACCTCTAAAAGCAGACAGGAACAAGAGAAAAAGGAACCCAAACATCAGCCTCTCCTGCAGCACCACACCAGTTTAGCCAAAGTAAAATGTCAAGAGTGATAGAGAAAATTACCAGAATTTTTTATAGGAAATGTAGAAACAAACTCTTTGACGGTTAATTGCTCCATGGGGATGACACAAAGCCAAACTTCCTCTCCACAGCTCTGTTCTGCATTGCTGCCATGTCCAGTGATGCCAAGTCTGAGCAGTCAACTCCAGCTGGCAATCTCTGCCAGCCCATGTTCTCCCAAATAAAACACACTGCATCCAAGAGGCAGTTGGTAATTCCCCATACCCATTTGTTTTCCATCGCTAAGGCTTGCACAGGAAAGCCTTCAGCAACAGAAAGCCCTTGTGCAGTGGATTCACAAAACTAACAAAAACATTTTCAGTATCACAGGTGACCCAGCCCACCTTCTCAGAAGGTCACATGTGGTTTTCCAGTCCCTCCTGACACACACTCTCACACCAGCACTGCAAATCCCCTGTTGAGGTGTGCTCCTGCTGCCACCTAATATGAGTCAGGGTGCAGAACTGAAAAGAGTTTCACATTAGCACTGTCCGGGTGTGTGTCTTGAGAATTTCTCTCAATGTGAGCTTACTCATCTCCAGTTCCATTTTTATGTCTAAATCTGCTCAGACTGTCAGCTGCTTGCTCTGCTTTTTTTACCATTGCCCCGCTATACACCCTCAACCAATTAAGCTTCCGTTCCTCTAATGTACACACTTCAATTACAGCAGGCAGCTCACCAAACATATACTGCTGCTTGCTCAAGGTTCATTTAATATGGACATCTTAATTTCATCTGCCAAACAAAGTTACAGGCTTCTCCTGAAGTTGCTTTCACCAGAGAACACCAATGTAAGGAAGGACAAAATTACCACATTAACAGAGACATACATCTTTTTTAAGACTAAAGCATGCAGATGCATTTGAAATGCATAATAAGCCAGAGCAACACTCCTGCATTTCACAGCACGAGGCCATTGGGTTATTTCAGAGAATAGGAAAGCCAGGAGCACTGCGAGATGAAGGACACTGTTCAAAACATAGAGCAAGTCATAAAGAATTGCTGCCAGTCAGCAAAAATCAAAGGGGAACAAACACATTCTGTCTTTTGGGGGAGCCCACTATAGCTCTCTGTTGCTTTTAAAAGCAAAAAATAACCACAGTCACTTGATAGCTAATCACTGCAACTGAGTGGATACCAACCAGCACATTATATAACCTGCCACCCACAAGCCACCAATGCCAACATAACAAAGCAGGGCGTTTTCAGGTTTATCTCAAGGTTTCTAGTGTGAGTGCACAATGAGAGAGATAAGATGTGACAGAGGCTTGTAAATGCATAACAAAACGGTGGGATAACAAGAAAAGAAGTGATCCCCTCTGTCAGCAGGGCAGGATGTTCTGCTTGCTCCAGGTACCCACCTACCATCTCATGGATGTGCAGAAATGCCATTTTCATTTCATTTATAAAAGAAGACTAGGCAAAGGTAAAGACATCTCTGAGTTGTGCATGGGGGAAGCCGGAGAGATGCTTCAGTAATCCTGCAACAATGTTGAGATGCAATGTTTTCACCCACGGCAACATCAGTACATGTTTCTTGTCTCATTTCACACACTGTGACTGCATTCAGTGTGCTTAATGAAATGCTCTGGCCAACATAAACCTATCAGAGATGGGCCAAGTGCAACAAAGGAATGAAACCTTCTAATCACCAAAAAACAGGGGCAGAAAAGGACCTATTGATATCCACAGTGTCTGAGCCAGAGATATTCCTGCAGCATTGCTGGGTCCTGAGGCCAGTGTACACAACTGTACTTCAAAAAGCGCCTGTGGTTTTCTGTTCTTGCTGCCCCACAACCTTTACCCTCAGTCACACATGGGTGTAAGTACTTACAGGCCATTTAGCAAGCAGTGCTGAGCTGCTGTGTTATAGCCAGAGACGCCGACTTTCAACTCTTGTGGGCTGAGTCTGCCTGTCTCGCATTTGGCGCTGCACGAACCAGACACACCCCGCTTCCAGAGCACGCTCCTGGGTGTTAGAAAAGGAAAATTAATATGATTTGCCACCACAGGACTAAAGGGATGTTCTGCAGGCTTTGACCCATGGACCTATGCCAGATTATGCTGACTTCCATGAGGTCCCACTCATCATGAGCAGGGCTTGGGCAGTCATGGTCCTCAACGTGCAGATAGGTAAAGGAGGCAGAGAGAGGAGCTGGGTAAGGCAGAAGGTAACATCCAGTTCAGACAGGAGCTGGGGCAGCAGGCAGTGAAACCAGGCAGGAGCAGCCAGGGTGAGCTGAGGAGAACTGCATTTTGCAGGTGCTGTGTGTTTCTTTGCCCCAGGGATCCCATTCTGCTAGGGAGCAAGATACTCACTGCAAGATACAGGCAGCTCCTTCTGGCCTCAGGGGCTGCACAAGTCAGGTGGCAACCAGCTCCCAGTGAGTCTTCCCAGTGTGTGCTGGACTGCCCACCTCCCAGGGCAGATGCCCTACTCTCTCCAAGTGCAGATATCGAGGAATACAAGTAGTGGCCTGGCGAGCAGCCACAGCGGGAGCTGCAGGTTGTGGTGGTGGCTGGAGCCACATGCAAGAGACCATGAGCTAGCATCTACCCTTTGCCCAGTAAAGGGCATGGAGACCTGTGGCACTGGCCAAGGGTGGCTGGTCACTCAGAGACTCTGTAGAACCCAAATAAACAGCCAGAAGGCCCCAGACTAAATATCAGGATTGGAATGGGCACACAGACTGTGAGGGTATAAAAGGCCAGGGATTCCTTAGTGCAGGGAGTCCCCCTGAAGGCACCAATTCAAGCTGTTATGGTGTTACTGCACCATGATTAAATTACTTAAAGGGTCCAGGCTTCTGGGACTCTGCTGTGGGAATCCCGGGGTCCAGACAGTGAGGAAAACCTGTCTGACTGTGTAAATATGGGGTGTGTGGGGAGCCAAGCAAGGCACACATTAGCTTAATGGAACCACCCGTTAAGCTAATGTGAAAGGGCTTTGGTCCCAGCAGTGACAGCCTGGGCTGGTGGGAGTGTGACTGACAGAGTGGCTCCTGGGTCAGACAGGAAAGTCTCCTTAACACAGAGATGCTCAAGACTGGGGCCACTTTCACCAGACTTCTGAGACACAAGGGAAATCTCTAGCAGAGTCTCAACACAGACCAAAGCCACAGTCTCACACCACCACCACCACCAGCACCACCACAAGGGCGTATCTTCCCCTTGAGAATCCTTTGGTTTGGGATGCTTGTGAGAAGGGCACTTACCTCAAAATCCCAGCCAATCCCCAAAGTAAAGAGATGTTGGAAAATGCGGAGGGCTATCTATCGCCTCAAAAAAAACCAAATAAGACAGCAAAGCTCTCCCTGCTTCAGCTGTGCTGTGAGGAAAGAGTCTCTGAAACCATCTCCTTGCCCTGCAAGCAATACAGAAATGCAGACTGATGTTATGGCAAAGCCCAGGAAGTCAGAGGCACTGTGCAGACAGGCTGTCCAGTGACTGTCCTCCACCTCAACCACCCCAATCTAATGAAGCAGCAACAAGCAGATGGAGTGTTTCTCCTCCCATAATGTACAGAGGTCTTGAGAGGGTATTAATAAAGTGATAGAGGTGTTTTATTTGCTCCTCAGTTCCAAACATCACAAATGTCTTCAATCATTTCCAACGTGCACGAGCAAGCAAAGCCAAGACACACATTACATTGGAAGGGGGAAGGAAGTCTGCCCAAAAGGTTTGTCCCATTTTCAGGAAAACAATGTAAGTGTTGGGAGTGGCAAAGAACACTTAACGAGGAGGTGAAACTTCCAAGTGTTGACTCACAAATAGCTTTGAAGGTAAGGAAAAACAGACTAAGCCCAGGGGAACAGACTTGGCAGAATGTTATTCCTGATCATACTGTCTCCTTCTCCTGTAGTTTATGGATGAGAGTACATGCCCTGCAAGGCCAGAAAAATTCCAGGTTTCCCTGCCTTTTCTACTCTGCCACTGTTTTTTCCCCACCAAACAGAAAACACACACTCAAGCTGCAGAGCTTATCATGGGGTGTAAGCAGGGCTTCTCCCACCTGTTTACCCTGTCTTTCATCTCTCTTATCCCTTTCACCCCTCTTCTATTCACCTTTTGGAAGCCTAAGCTCCTTTCTTCACTGCACTTTACAGCTCTACACTTTTGGAGAGATATACACTGTCCCCAGAGTGGCATTTCCTTTGGTAAATGCAACTTGCCATGGGGAAAACACCCAAGGCCTGTGAGCTGTTAGGGACTGTGGCAGAGAACACTGTTTCTCAGGACAGTTTTCCCTCACCAACCTCTTCAGCCTGTGGACTTACTCCTCCTCCACAGAAGGAGGTCCTCTTCTTCATGTATTAACCACCAAAGCCCCAGAGGAGCAGCAACAAGGGAGGTGATGGGGCAGAGGTTGAACTACAAGGAATGGATGTGCAGTACCCATGACTTGGCTTTCGTCATTCCACTAAAGTGGCCCTCTCTGGCACAGGGATTGTCTTTTGACTCTGTTGAGACCTGTGGAAAATATTTGCCCTGAGAGGCAAAGTACAAGGTAAGCAATCATAGACAGGCATGCCAGCATTCCTTATTTGTAGGAATTAATTTCCTTTGTTTACCAGTGTCTCAAGCTGCTACAACCATAAATTGCTCTTTGTAGGGTGTTTGGGTGAGCTACAGTAGGAAGGTGCCAAACAGCGTTTTCCTTCAAGCACAACACAATGTATTAGTACATGCCCTCCTTTCCCACTGGGCTCTGCTTTCAGTTTTGCTTTTCATTATTCTTTTAAAATAAGATCTTATGGGAAATTGCACCTTGATTCCCATAATGGACAGAGGGGAGCAGGGAACAGCTTCCAGCTGCTAAACAGGAGCCAAGCCTGTGTGAGCAGCCTCTACATTGCATCCAGAGGGACTATTACTTTTTAATTCTACTGAAATATTTTCAGGGACAGACTTTGCACATTAAATCACCCCTAAGAGCGTTCAGCTGGGCCAAGACCACAATGGGGAGGCTCTCTCTGACAAAGCTGTGGCCATCCTCAGTGTCTTGGCCAGGCAAAACCCACTCTTGCAGTCCTGTGGTGCCACAATTGAAGGGCTACTGGCTCTTCTGGTTTAGGCAGTCACTGCTATTAATACCAGTGGTTCCTCGCAGGAAGCAGGAAATAATACAGCAAGAGCAGAAGTTCTCTCCCTAAGTACCTGGACCTGCCCCAGCTCAGGAAATTGCAGGGAGGATGCTGGACACTCTCCTCACCATTGTAACAGATCAGTCCACATCCTCCAGGCTTTTTTGCTCCCTTCCCTTTGCTACCCATGGGAGAGGCAGCCCAGACCTCTCCCCAGTAGGCAGGATCATCCAGCAGCAACCTCAGCATTAAAAATGTGCAATAAACCCCATGCGAGGTAAACTATAGCTGTTCTCAAAGTTCCTTTCATGATTTTTGAAGCTCCATCAGTCTTTTCCTATCCTCCAATTCACTCTGCCCTTCTCTCTCCACCTGTTCCCAATGTGGTTTTCTTCCTTTCCACTCTCATCCTGCCCTCATCCCTGAACCTCAGGTGACATCTTCTGCAACCTAAGGCAAGGGACCTAAGGCAAGTAGAGACTTTTGCAAGTCTTCTTGAGACAGCAAAATGCCAAAATTATTCCCATTTTAGACAACAAAGCCAGTGATTTGCTTGCTGGGATGTCACACTGGAAATCAGTGACACAGAGGACTCTCTGAGTCCTGGTCCAAGCTGTCTACTGCAGCAGCAGCCTCCTCACCTGCCACCACCCCCTATACCAGTGTATCCTTCCCAATATATTGCCCAGGATCATCTTTCTCTTTTCCCACAGACCTTTCTTTGCTTCTTTGCTCCCACTTAACCTGCAAACACAGCTCATTGCTTCAGCTTGGACTGTAGGATTGGAACCTTAAAGTCTCTCTTTTGGGCCAAACTGCAATCTTGCAATCTCAGGCTGCCCGGAAATGGCTGGGGGAAAAGAGAAAACCATGGGCATGACATTTCTTCCAAGAAAAAAAACCCCAAAATAATTGAAAACGTTGGTGTTCTTACAAGCACACATCCCGGCTCTGCATCTGAAAAGCAAACACTGCAGCACAAAGAATCTTTAAAGGGGAAATGAAACAACTGCACTTTCAGCACCCAGGTTCAGAAAATGCTGACAGCTCGACATGGATAACCACAAGAAAACAATCTGACTTTTAACTGTTCAGCAGTGAAATCAGGAGCAAGACATTTGTCAAGCAAATAGGAGTCCCCTGTCTTCATCCCATTACCCAAAGGAAGAAAGTGGGCAAGAATCAAGTCCCCTTCTTTTAGGCACTGTCATCTGTTTGAGCAAGACACAACAGGCAGTCGGTGTCAGGATATACCTTTCACACACTGCTCTCCTCCATACTGAATTGGTATTCCTAATTAACCGTGCATGTGTGCATTGCCATTGAATGAGGATCGTGTGAATGTTGATCAGACAACCCTAAGGGTCACTTTCACAAGTAGCTTTGCTTGAAAAGGAAAAAAAAAAAAAAAAAAAAAAAAAAGAAAAGGAAAAAAAAGGCAGGTTAACTCATAATTTCGGCAACCTTTATAGCTTAAGGGCTCTGAATCAATGGTCTGGCACAAGCATGATGCTCTAACTCAAAGCTAAGACTGAGATCCCCAGCGACCCTGGGACATCAGCACCCACCATCTTTCTATCACTCCGAGAGAGGATCTCACCCTTCCCTCCCTGAGGCACCACAGCGCAGCTGAACGCCTTCCTCGACACCTTAAATTCCCTCCAGGGAATTGAACCGGACACAGCCAGCATGTCCTGACAGGGCACCCTGACAGGATCTATCAGGGGAAGGCAGCACCTGTCCCACCCCACAATCTGAACCCAGGTGAGCTTCTTCCCAGACCCCTATGCAGCAACCTGGCCGAGGACCCTGCCGAGTCCTGCCACCACCAGATCCCTCAGCGCCTAAGGGATGGATTCCCCAGAGGGATTCACGGGTGACAGGGATGCCGAAATCATGACCTGGGAGAGCTCTTCCACAGCTGGGTCCCTCCTTCAGGCCCCGGGTGAAGCGGCTCTCATGCCCTGAGCCAGCCCGTGTGCACCTGCCGTGACACAGCGGCGGGGAGCTCCCGGCTGCCCCCTCAGGCTGCAGCCCCTGCGGCGCCCCTCGCCCCCGCCCTGCCCCGCTCGCAGCTCCCCGCGGGCCCCCTCACCCGCGGGCCCGGGGGCGGCCACTCGCGGCAGGACGGGGCGACAGCGAGACGGGCGGGGGTGTCCGGCGCTCCCGGCCGCGGCTCCCGGCAGCGGCTCCTACCTGTGCACCTGCGGACGGCTCCGGCTCCGGCGGCGGCGAGCGCGGCCGGGCTGGGTCCGAGCCCCCGCCCCGCCGAGCCCCGCCCCGGACGGGCGGGTCCGCAGCCGCCGCGGCCACCGGGGGCCCTGGAGCACGGCGGGGCTGCTGGGAGCGGTGCTCGTGTCCTGCTCTGATCGCCGGGCTTGGGGTGCTGGGAGGCGGCCACAGCCCCCCCCCCGGCGCTTCAGGGCACCCCTCGGGGACGGCAGCACCGCGCAGTGCCGCTGCCTGCGGGCTGGCCCCGCTCTGCCTTCCTCCCTGCCCGGCCTGGCCAGGGCCAGGAGCACCTGCCCAGCCTGCGGCTCCTGGTGCGCCTTCTGCTTCGAGCCCCCGGAGGCACCGGGGAGAGCTCCACACAAACCCCGCATCTTTGCAGCCCTCCCGGGACGTGCTGCCCGTCTGGATGGGTGTTTTGAAAGGCCTCAATGGAACAGACACTCAGTAGCAAGAGACCTCAGGAATAGCCTCTTTCACCCCCTTTCCTATTGGGTGGTGGGCTTTGTGAGCTCCCTAAAGTATCTCTGTGGTTGGAATTTTGAGAAGAAATATTCCCAGCAAAACAGCTCGGTGTTAACTATTTGGGGCAATGAAGGAGTCGTTTCACTGTCCAGTCTTCATGGGATTAAGTCAACGTGAATGCTACCGCTTCTTTTTCCTCTTCCATCTCTCTCTGTCAGGATGACTGATGTTATTTAGTGACTGTCTTGTTTGTTTTCCTAAAATCCAAATAAGGTAGCTTGTAGTCAAAATTTTGTCCTGGTGCCATCACTTATGAACCAACACAAAACAGACAGATGCCTAAATCCATGTCAGCCCCCAGAAACTGAGCCGAGTTATATATCAGCAGTTTATCAGTGTTTTGTAGGCTGCCCTTCTAGCAAGCAACACTCCACCCTACAGCTGTGGCCCTCATGGAACACTCTGAAGAGACTGCATGTCTCTGATCCCCAGAGATTGAAAACCCCTCAGAGTGCTGATCCTCAGAGCAAGCACTGCACCAGCAGGTCCCCTGAGCCCTTACCAAAGTGGCTGCATCATCAAGGGAAAGGACAGATGCTTCCACAGAAAGGTACTGTGTATGCTTCTCGGGTCCTAGGCTGAGGGGGCTATTTTTAGAGCTGAAATAACATTTTTCCTGCTTTGGTATTTCAAGTCTTATGTTATCCTGGGCTAATAAATGTTTCCTTGCAGCATTTGGGTTTTTTTTTTTTTGCAACCCCACAAAATCCAGAGATCTTGGTCAGGGTTTCCCCTTTCCATGCACCTGACACTGCCCAATGGCATTGCCATGCTTAGGAGCCAAAAATGACTTCCAGGCATAGCTTTCCTCAGGCAAGGAGTTGCTATGGCCTCCATGTCACCACGAGAGGCCCCAAAATCAGGTGCCTGGAATATGCTTGATGTATCAGCATTAACCACATCCCTCCCTGCAAGGCTTCTTGTGATAGTAAGAGTCAAGGAAGCTCACGTTAAAAGTAATTGAGGGGAAGTCTTTGAATCCCAGTACCCTCTGGCTTTCAGCAGCTGAGGCTGAAGAAAACCTTCTGTCAAACAGGTGAGAAGTGACAGTGCTCAGTCCCAGAGATTTTGGCCAGAAAGGAAAATGCAGCAACTAATCAGCAACTGCCTTAGTCACTTCACCTCTGCTGGCAGCCAATGCTGGAAGGGAAACAATGCACCATATGGCGTTTTAAGGCAATTTCATTTTTGGTAAACTCTGAGTGTCTGAGACATTTTGTTCACAGCTCCTTTTTGAGCAGATGGTGTCCCTCTGAGTGCTGGAAAACGCATGATGCTGACAGGCCCACCAAAAACCTATTACAAATTTAAAAATTCACAGCTTGAAAAAAGGGCGCAGCCTGGGGACAGCAAGCATGTGTTGGAGCCCACCCAGTGCAGGAAGCAAGAGAGATGCAGGGAGGCATCAGCCATCAAGGGGTGATGTTACGTAGGTCCTTGGAGATATTTCCTACAATGATTTCTTCATGGGACACCATGGGAGAAGCAGTCCCTCTCCCACAACCCTCATTCTGCAAAGCAAAGCAACCTCATGCCCCTCTAGTGGCTGTTCTTCCCAGGGTGAAATTATCATTGAAGACTGGCTGTGGTTATTCTGGACTGGTTTTTTTGGGTGGAAAAGGCACACAAAGATGAGGAAAATGGAATTGCTTTGAGTTTGCTTTCATTACTGGGGGTACATGTCTTCTGAAACTATATTTGCCACCTTTTTCTCCTGTCCTACTCCTTTCTGCTCCAAAGGTGGAGTGGGGCCTGGCAAGAAAGGTTGCCCACCCAGAAAGAGGAGCAGCAGAGAAAATGGGCCTAGGGATCACTCAGCAGCAGGCATTGGAGCTGCTCCACACCCCGAGGCATGTATTAAATACAATTAAAACTGTGAAAAACCAGTTAAAACTGTTTCTCAGTTGAAGTGTTAACCCTCATTTCATTAGCCAGATCATCTCCTATCAAAGCCATCTGTTCCTTTATCAAGCTTTTCAAATATTGTGATAGACTTCATATCTCCAAATGCCCTGCTGATAAACAGATGCCACTTAAGCAAGTCCACCTGTGGCTTGGCCTTGACAAGGTGTGCTCAGGGTGGCTGGAGAGGCACTGACCTGCAAGGTGCATTCTCTCACCATAAGAAACATCCCCAGATCACAGCCCTACGAGATGAAGATCTTCCCAGTTCACCCACAAGATCCCAACCAAGAAAAATTCACCTATTTCAGGGAATAGAGCAGCAAATTGAAGAGACCTATTCCATCTAACTGCAGCAAAGTGATACCACTTGAATGTTAGGAAATGAAATGGAGAAAATGGAGACAAAATTATAAAACTTTTCCATAAAAATAGAAGTTTAAAAAAAAAAAAATACTGCTGTGATAGCAGATAAAAGAGGACTTGTAGTCAAGGTGTGAACTCTGGGGAAGAAACCTTGCAGTGCCAGTGTATGCAGATGAGAGCTGCAGACTGGTGTGTCCTGGCCCCAGTGGGTGTATATGCTGGCCTGGCAGGACGACAGTCCTACATGAAGCACAGAAAATGCTGAAAAACTAAAGAAGGACTTTTTTTTTTTTTTCTTTAAGAATAATGGGATTGGGTAAAATAATTATTTCTGATTATCATGCTATAAATGCTAATGGAGTTGTGTCAGTCAGGAAAATTTAGTAGCCACAGTGAATACAAAGGTTAGGCATGCTGTGCAGATGTGGTAAGCACCCTTTCACCTACATTTCTTATCTGTGGTGCTCATTTCTTCCAATCATTTTCCAAGTCCTGCAAAAGGGGATTTTTTTTTTTATTATTACTGTTCTGCAGGCAGGCTTTGCTGCTCATCCACTTCTCTTGGGCAATAAATTTAGTTTTAAAATGCTTGTGTGGGGCAGGGCCTTTACCTGCACTAAGGTAATACCTTTGCTCCTTGCCCCTTTTGGCTTTAACCCCAGCTTGGCCATGGCTGGTGCAGGAAGGGGAGAGGCAGTGGCACAGCTCCTGGAGTCACTTGTCTGAAATCCAGGGTGGGAATTCTTTCACTGTTTTCTCAGAAAAAGCCTAAATCAGGGTTTAACTCTTCAGAGAGTGGGGCAGCAGGAGATGGACTCACTAAAAGCAATGCACCCCATGTGCAAGGGGTGATTTAAACAGCAGAAGCCTCTAACCATTCAGCAGGCAATTTTGCCCATGCAGGGGCACCCCAGGAGTTATAATTTTTCCCCCTGTTCTCACCTGTTTAGTGGGGCTGGTGCTGCTGGATAAAGGTTTTTCCAGAGGTTTCTGCTCCCAGGCCAGGCACAACTGTGCCAGAGCCACTGTGGGAGCTGGGGCACATGGCCACTTATTAGTACATGCCCTCCTTTCTCCCTGGGCTCTGCTTTCAGTTTTGCTTTTCATTATTCTTTTAAAATAAGATCTTATGGGAAATTGCACCTTGCGTCCCATAAACACCCAGAATGTGGTGAGCACCCTGTACAGAACCACCCTTCCCATTTAAAGGGTAGAGCTACAAAACAGCCTTGGGGCAAAAATATTGAGGTAATACAAGTCCACCCTGGCCATGCCTTTGGGACCGCTGTCTGGGAGCTGACGCATCATCAACCTCCCTCCAAACTGAGAGCCCTCCCAGCTGCAAATACCCCAAATATTGTCTAACCAGAGCCCATAGGACAGCCACCACACTTCCAGCCTTGTATGGATTCTCAGGCTCACATGGCCATGGGAGATCTTTTAGAAGATATTTTTTTTTCCCTAGGAGCCTCCCACCCCAGCAGCTGAATGTGATACCTGCAGTCAGGCCACATTTCCCATCTGCTGGGCTTATTTCTAGAAAGCTGTGTTCTGGCTGCTAGCCGGGGACAGCAGTTGCCTTGCACTTGCGAGCTGCAGAGGAATTCAGACATTCCTGGGGCTTACCAGGGAACAGCAGCGCTTCTGGAGGAAGTGGGCAGAGCAGAAATCTACCCCTTGTACCCCAAGAATGTAATTTCTCCCACCAGAATATCCCTTCTACCCCTGATGCATTTCTTCACCACCAGCACTCACCCTCTCCCTGCAGTGTCTTTCTCAAGGCGTAACTTCAGTGCCAGCAAGTTTTGCTCATGGCTCCTGCTCCAGGCACTGCCCCAGTGCAGCCCAGCCCAGCTGCAGCAGGGATGGGGTCAGATGGAGCCTGGAAGTTCCTCTGCAGGCAGCCACCACAGCCTTGGTCTCACCTCCCACCTTGACTGCCACGTTTGCATGCAGCCCTGACGCGGGGCGGATTTCATCAGTGTTTGCATCACCAACTATGTGCTGTAACTTGGAGCTGAAATCCTCCTCTCTGCTGTAGTTTACAGAATAGATCTTCCTCTAGAGATTGTGCCAAGTCCCAGGGGTCTCAGGGCAGGCTGGCATTCCCTTGAGCCACTCCATGCCAGAAAGCAGCTGACCTGCTCGGGAGTTTCCACTTGGAGGGAGCACACAGCTCCAGAGCCAACACTACATTTCATATGGGCCCCACCAGTTCTGGGAAAAGAGGTAAAACCAATCCAGTGCCTGCTGTGTGCCAAAGCCAAGAGCCTGGAAACACTCAGTGCAACAGTGCATGGGGCAAAGTACAAATACCTGCTCCCACTGCTACATGGTGTTATTCCAGATGGGTCAATGTGCCAAGGACAGAGTTAGAGACACCACAAGGTCAGACACTGCCAGACCATCAGCTCTTAGGAGACAGTCACTGGTTAAGTCCAACCTACAGCCAGCCACCAACCCACCAGCCGTCCCTCAACACTTCTGCACTGCTCAGAAAGCTCTAGCCAGGTCTTCAACTACCAAATCAGCAGGAGAAGTGTCAAAGTCCACAGAAGTAAGTGCAGCTCATGCTCTAGTACCCACCCTACCAAGCCTCCACAACTTCCCCATACGACTTCATTCAATAGCAGATGGATCCAGTAGCTACCCTGGGAAATGGCAGTGGCCCTTCCTGCCTCCCACAGACCCTACATCATCTTGAGGAAGAGAAAACCACACTATGACATAATGACATGTGACGTAAGAGAAAAAAACACACATGGCCAAAATGATTTTAAAAAAAATCAAAACAAATAAGCAAAGTGTTCAAAACAAACACAAACATACAAACAAATAAGCAAAGAAGGAAATGCATGGAAATATTCCTTGTTTTACCAAAATATGAGGTGCCCTCTTTAAAAATCTGGTTTTCATGTGAAGGCTAAGACTTTTTTAATCAAGTCTATCACATGGAGAATTTAATTTACAAAAAGAGGGGTTCAGGTAGCATAAGCTTCCAGATAAGGCATTTGATGGAGGAGCTTTTTCTTTTCTGAACAATGTTTCTTTAGATATTCTCAGTTTTTCAAAGCCAGGTAACTTGACAATGGCTTCAATTTCAGTTTTCAGATCCCTGAAACACACTGGAACTGCTGCTGCTTTTGAAGTCTTATACCTGGGGGAGGGTGGGGGGAATATTACCTTGTTGTAATTTCAGGTATTCAGAGAGATTCAGAACAGGTGTGCCTCTTAGCAAGGCCCTTTATACTTCTTACAACAGGCACTTGACAGGAATGAGCCTAAGGAAGTCCAAGCAATAGCAGTACAAAAAATGATAAAGATCAACAGGAAGCTGTGCATCTTGGTGCATTCCCCATAGTCCTGCAGTCAGGAAATTGCACAAAGGAAAGGATGAGAGCACCAGTGAGATCAGGCGTTCGCACATCTTCCAAGTTTCACTCCTACGCTCACACCCCAAGTCCAAACCCATTACACACATCACTTTGAAGGCAGGTTCCTTATGATTTTTGCCATGGAAGGAACAGCTCAATCTTTCTAACCAGCAGGTCAGGAGCCTCCCAGCTCCAGGACTTTGTTTCCACACCATAGTGCAGTCACTGCAGCAGGGTGTGGGGAGACATCTCACTCCATGTGTGTGTGTGTGTGTGTGTGTGTGTGTGTGTGTGATTCCCATGTCTGTCAAATGGCTCTGACCCCGGATGAATGCACATCAAAACACATCTTCAGGCACACCCGGGTCTTCAGGCCCATCTCAGCAGAAACAAAGAGGATTTACAGCAAAATCTAAATAAAATATTTTGTATTTCTGACCAAAGCATTGTCCTGTAGTCACACCAGGCTGGTAATTTTCTATTAAAGCGGGATTTTCACATGCAAGAACTTGCCACGGCCTCCTTTCAAGTTTATGTCAGCTTCCAGTTTCTTTCCCCCCTCTATCATCTTGGCCAGGAAGCCCAAAATAATCAAATCCCTTGGTGCCCTTCCATTTGACAGCCTCCTCTTCCCCTGACATTCAGAAATGCTGAGGGGCGAGGTATTTTGAGCTGCACCAAATGCGTAGCTAGAAATGCCAAGCGAAACCCTGCTGTAATTCTGATGTGTGATGCACAAAGCCCCTTGCTTTGGGAGATGTTTCAAAATTAAACACAGTGGCCAGGCTAACTCATAACTGTTTATTGTAAATCACTCAAGAGTTTACACATCATTAATGGCAAAATAACACTTTTAAAACACCTGCTGGATGAAAGACAGAATAAAGACAACTCTTTTATATTATATGGCATCATTTGAAAAACAAGAAACAGAACAAAAAAGAAACCATTTTAATTTTTTTCCCCACTTTTGCATCTTTCCTGAAAATATCTGGGCCTGAGTCTCACTTATCTTGAGATCCCTGCCTTGCCCAGGGCGTGGGGCTGTGTGGCTGGGAAACATGCACTCCCTCTCCGAGGGGCAAGGCAGTGACCTTCTGTATAAATGAAAATCATGCCCTCTATCTTCAAAAGTGCTCCAGTGCTGACAGTACAAAGCCTCTCTCCTGCACTGGCTAACATCTAACACAAAGAGCTATATGTCCCATTAAATCCACATGCCTTTTTTTTTTTTAGATTTTTTTTCTTTTTTTTTTTCTTTTTTTCTTTTTTTTTTTTTTGTTTTTTTGGTTAAGCAAGGCAACTGTTAAAATTCAGAAGCTACATAACTGTCTTTATATTTTGCTCAGAAACCAATGGATGTTGCATGCAGCTGAAATATTAGTACAGGCTCTGACTTAGATAAAGGTCAGTTTTTAAGACCCACTAGTCAAAGGCAGAAAAAGAAATTAAGAGGCCTCTTGTGCAAAAGGGGCTAAAATATGCATGCATCAATGGCCATGACAGATTAGAATATGACTTAGGTCTCCAAACACTGAAACCAAAGCTTTATTTGGCTTAAGACATGGTTGAGCTCCATACATTTACAATTACAATGTATATGTGACAACAAAGGAACCACCTCAATATAGCATCAGTTGGTATTTTGGCCTGTATAGAGACTAATCTTCAACACAAAAGCCTGCTCAGCAGTAAATGGTTTTCATATTTAGCAAAGACAGCAGTGCACTGGGCTGGCTAACAGGGCTAACAAAAAGAAGGAAGCAGGTTTCCAAACTAACATCTAACTAAAGTGAGGGTGATTTCTCCCCTGGACATACTGTTTCTCATCAGTGTCTGTCCTTTCCGTGAGTATGCAGCTGACACAGCACACTGGGCCCTGCCCCATCTCCCCCGAAAGATGCGCCTCAAAACCTTATTGGATTAGCAGTAGGAACAAAAATCTCCCCTGACTTCCTTCAACCTGCCAACATTTACCACGAACAAGCAAATTACAACAAATCTCAGACATGAACTACAGTGACTAAAATCAAATCTCTCTCCCGCTTAACTGCAATATTAAATAATATATAACATTTTTACACTTAATAGTCTTAAGTTTGGACATAAGACAGCTAATAAGGGGGAAAAAAAAAAGAAGCTGTGGCTGAATCAATTCCTGAGGAACTCATTCAGCCCAACCAAACTGAAACGAAAGAAGTACTTTTACCCAGGAGTAAATCCACCACAGGCACGGGGTTGTGCGCGCACACCCAGACAGCCACGCGGACAGCAGCGCTGGCACAGCGAAGCAGCACTCCTCAGGCACTGCCATCTCCAGTCCTTTCCTTGCGAGCCTGGATCATCTCCTTCGGAGCCTGCTTGCGGTCAGTGACCAACCCCAGCCAAAACATGAAGTCAATGAACCAGGTGGTGGGGTTGAACTTCAGGCCCAGCTCACTGGCTGAGTAGTCAAACGGGAAGGTGTGGTGGTAGTTGTGGAAACCCTCACCTGAAAAACAGAGAGAGAGTTTAAAGACCACACGGCTGGCACTTTTGTTAACCCAGGAACACACTCAGACAGGACACTCCAACACCCATTTCCCACGTCTTGCATCTAGTAGAGGTTACACTCCAACCCAGACCTCTAGGGCAGACCCAAACCAGGCTCCATTTCATTGCTCTGGGCTTTCCTCCTCGGTAGGATGGGGCATGTCCCACGCCTTATGCTCAGGGAAGAAAACCAGAAGTGCTTCAATAGAGGGGGCACACAACTGAGTCAGAAGTGGGGTCACTCCCTTCTGCTGCACTATCTGCTGAGCAGAGCTTGCTGCTGGGTGCTAACACCTCCCTTCCCAGAGACCACACGGTGTTATTTCAATGTGGGCACCATCAGTAGAACAAGGCTGCCTTCCTCTAGCATGCACAAGCTCCGGCCTCCCCCAGTCCCCGGCTCCAAGCGGCGTCCCAGCCAGGGCCAAAGAGGATGGGACACCACAGAGCTGTGCCAAGGGCTGCAGCACTCACCAATGGCTCCCAGGGTGACCAGGGTGTTCTGCCTGGGGTTGATGTTCTTGTCGTAGGGGCGGTTGCCGTACATGTGTGCGGCGCTGTTGACCAGCCAAGTGACGTTCAGGGAGATGGTGTACCGCAGGATGGAGGCCAGGAAGTAGGCGTTCCACAGGCTCTCGCCCCACAGGTACCACGGCACAAAGGTGGGGATCACAAAGCACATCAGCACAACTGAGCTCTTGTAGTACCTGCGGGCATTACAGGGCGAGAAGGGAAAAGGGAATGCAGAGTAAGACCCGTCTTGTTTATGCCCCTATGAGAGATTTAAAATAGACCCCTGCTTTTGTTGAGTTTTCTGGAAGGGGTGAAGAAAAACAGAGTTTGGATTTATTAAACAGTTATTAAAACTTTGCATTCCCTGAAAGTCTTTCAGATAGGAAGGACTGTTGTTTTTATTTGACAAAAACAGAAAAACAGCTTTCAATTAAAACCCACGGCGAACTGGAAAAATGATAATATTAGCAGCATTTTTGAAAGGAAGTTTTCATGAACAC